TTTTTTTTTTTTAATGAAAAGGACAAAATTTAAAACAAGGCTTTAAAAATTTGATCAAGACAAGAAGTTGGTGTCTGTCCATTCAAACCGCGTTTTACGGAAAATTTCAGTTCTGGTTGTTGTCGTGGCTGTCAAGTGTCAACTACCAAATTATGGGCCTACTGGTAGTTTGAAAAGGTAAAAACAAATTAGGGATGTTGCTTTGCATGTGAGGTCAACAAAACCGTGATTGTAATTACAACAAAGAAAAAAAAAAAAAAACGTGATTATCATCGTTGGTCACTTTCTCCTCATATAACTGTTATTTTTTATTTTAAATTTTTCTCAAATTAATTTTTTTTTTATTTTTTAAATAAATAAATATTTTATTTAAGTAATAATATTATTTATTTATTTTAATTAATCATTCTATTATAAAAACTTTCGCTTTATTTTTTAATTTTTTAAAAGATAATAAGTTAAATACATAAATTACCTTTAAATTCTTAATTTAAAAAAATAATAATTATTTTGAAAAAAAAAAGCATTACTATGTTTATTTTATTTTGTAAAAACAATTGTTTTTCTTGGAAATGCATGCAATACTAAATAATGTTGGTTCTGTTTAGCAGCTACAAAAAGTTAATAGATGATACTCCTTATGATTAGATTTAGTTGTTTTATTTTCTAAATAAAGGTCATCTGATCTAGTTTTTTTTTTTTTTTTTTGAACAGTGTGAAATCTTTTTTTCCTGAGGAAAGGAGGAATGTGGGACTTGAGATTTAATCCCAAGCCCTTGTAGTCCTACGCACGTCCCTTGCAAGGGGTGGCCATTTGGCCACCGAGTGCGGGACATCTAATCTAGTTGTTTCAGTTTTATTTTAATAACACATTAAATGCTAATATTTTAATTTTAATTTTATCTCAAAATTAAGAGATATTATGATTTTTTTATTAATTATAAATAAGGGTAAAAGTGAAAAGATAAGTTTTAATTATTGTAGTAAATGAATTTCTTGGTATGTACCAAAAAAAAAAAAAGATGAATTTTTTGGTATTCATGAATGGATAAAATTGGACAACTAAATATAACTAGAAGAAGTTTACTGTTAATAGTTGTTGCTATTTATAATTCAAATACTTTTATTTGTTCAATTACAAAAAATAACTACTCTCATCAATCACATTTAGTTGTTTCACTTTCTAAATAAGGGTGATTTGATTTAATTGTCTCACTTTCTATTTTAATTAATAGAATATTATATGCTAATATTTTAATTTTGCCATAATCTTCAAAGAAATAGAAATGTGTTAGGATGTTTTTGTTTTATTAAAAGTAAGGGTGAAAATGTAAATACAATAGTAGATGGTTGTAATAAATGAATTTCTTGATAATCATGGCTAAAATAAAACAATTAAATCCAACTAGAAGGAGTACATAGGTTATTTCCTAACCATTCGACCAAACAATACCATTACAAAGTATTTAAGTGGAAATGTTTAAAAGCACTTGCTAAAAAATTTATATAAAATATTTTGAAATATGATAAATATTATTTATTCCAGTTGGATTTAGTTGTTTCAATTTAATTTTTGCACAAAGTTTAACCAAATAATTTTACATAATAAATAAATTATAATTAAAATTTTTTTCTTTCTATAAGTCATTCTCATTAAGTATTTTTACTTAAATTAATTTTTTAATTATCATTTATTTATTAAATAAAACCATTAAATAAATTTAAATAAAGTTAAGAGACTAAGCCAACTAAAAAAAGACCGGAGGGAGTATTTTAAATTTATAGTTTTTCTTATCTTTTAAAAGTTGCAAGTTTATTAAAAGTCAAAGGGTTAAAGCCAACTATCGTCCCTATACTTTGTGAAAAAGTTCAATTTGACCCTTCTACTATGTAATGACCTCAGGTCGTCCCTCTACTTCATTTTGAGCTCACATGTCCCCCCTCTACTGTTCAAAAGGTGATCAATTTCGTAACCCCATCCGTTCCAGGCTAACACCGTCACTTCTTATGGTTAAAGCCTAACGGTTTGACGTTTTACATATTATTCTATATTATTCTTTTCTCCAATTTGGCTATAATAGGACCTACCAGTGTCACATCATACTCCATATTAATATCTTTTTGCATGAATATTTTACCAAATTTTTTTAGTTATTAACCATATTTATTTATATCCTTTTATCAACTTTTCAGTTGAGTCAATCAAAGGGGTATTTCTCAAAATTATGTAGGTAAGTAAGTAAATTTAATTTAGAAAAAAGAAATATATGAAAAATTTTGAATTTTATTAAGGTTAAAAAAAATTATTACTAGAAAGAGAAAATTTTATAATGCATATTACAATTTTTTTAATTATAAACTTTAGGTGGTTTAAAAAGAACTCATAATTTATGATTCTATTTATATTCATAAATCAGCTAAGCAAATACATGGGTGAAGTATTTGTCTATATTTGTATTTAATTTGAAAATTAATTAATATAAAATTTTGATACTTAGTATTTACTTAAATATTAAAAATCTATTTTTATTATTGAACTCGCTGAGTACTGGTATATTTATAAATACATTTATGGAAATAGTGTCTATCAACTTTATCTCCTAAAGATTAGGAGGAAAATCATCTTAAAACTAAGTCGTTTTATTTAATTTTTATTGAAAAAGACTAAATTACCCTATTTTTATAGTATGCATTAAGGTGATTTCTATCTTTTTTCCTCTTAATTTTTTAGAGGTAAGGCGGACAAGCACTAACCCCTACATTTATATATTTATTTAATATTATAACCTTTTAATACAAATTAAAATACAATTAAATCTATTACAAAACATATACTTTAGTTTATACATAATATATAAACATAAGTTTCTTTAAATTCGTCAACGACCTAAATAACTAAGTAATAATCTTCTTCAACTAAAAGTAAAAGATTTTAAATTTGAGTCGCTTAGTATATAAGTGGGGTGGGGTGGAGTAAGAGATGAGAGAGGATTACTTTCTGTTATGTAACTAACATAATAACAATAAAAAAATTCTTTGAATGCATTAGTTCAACGTAAGAGATGTGCTTTTAAAATTTTATATCTATTAATTTTTAAATTAAATACAAATATAAATAAATATCTTACTCATGTATTTCCTTAACCCATTTATGTCTATGAATAGAATCGCAAATTATGAGTTCACACTAGACAATCCAAAGTTTACAAGTAAAGAGATAGTAATATGCATTAGGGATTTTTCTTTTTCTAGTTATAATTTTTCTAAACCTTAATAAAATTCAAAAATTTTTATGTATTTCTTTTAAAAAAAGAATTAAATTACTTGATTACCTATAATAGTTTTAAAAAATATTCCTTGAATTGACTCAACTAAAAAGTTAATGCATATTACTATTTCTTTAATTATAAACTTTAGGTGGTTTAAAAAGAACTCATAATTTATGATTCTATTTATATTCATAAATGAGCTTAGCAATTATATGGGTGAAGTATTTGTCTATACTTGTATTTAATTTGAAAATTAATTAATATAAAATTTTGATACTCAGTATTTACTTAAATATTAAAAATTTATTTTTATTATTGAACTCGCTGAGTACTGGTATACTTATAGATACATTTATATATTTATTAAATATTATAACCTTTTAATACAAATTAAAATACAAGTAAATCCATTATAAAACATATACTTTAGTTCATACATAATATGCAAACATAAGTTTCTTTAAATGCGTCAACGACTTAAATAACTTAGTAATAATTTTTTTTCACTGGAAGTAAAAGATCTTAAGTTCGAGTCACATAGTATATAAGTAGGGTGAAGTAAGGGATAAAAAAGAATTATTTTCTGTTGTGTAATTAACATAATAATAATAATAAAAAAAGCTTCTTTGAATGCATTAGCTCAATGTAAGAGATGTGCTTTTAAAATTTTATATCTATTGATTTTTAAATTAAATACAAATATAAATAAATATTTCACTATGTACTTCCTTAACCCATTTATATATATGAATAGAATCGCAAATTATGAGTTCACTCTAGACAATCCAAAGTTTACAAGTAAAGGGATAGTAATATGCATTAGGAATTTTTCTTATTTTAGTTATAATTTCTCTAAACCTTAAAAAAATTCAAATTTTTTTTATCTATTTCTTTTTAAAAAAGAATTAAATTTACTTGATTACCTATAATAGTTCTAAAAAATATTCTTTTAATTGACTCAACTAAAAAGTTAATAAAAAGAGATAAATAAATGTGGCTAATAATTAAAAAAAAAAAGTTGATAAAATATTCATGTAAAATGATATTGTTATGGAATATAATGTGGTATTGGGGGGTCCTATTATAATCAAATTGGAGAAAAGAATAATACAGAAATATATGTTAAATGCCAAATCGTTAGGCTTTAACGGTAAAAAGTGACGGTGTCAGCTATGGAATGGATGGAGGGATGAAATTGATCACTTTTTGAATAGTAGGAGGACATGTGAGCTCAAAATGAAGTAGAGGGACGACTTGAGGTGATTCCATAGTTGAAGGGTTAAATTGAACTTTTTTACAAAGTAGAGGGATGATAGTTGGCTTTAACCCAAAGTTAAAAACACTTTTCGTGAATTTGTGTTTTACCCAAGGTTAACTTCAAGCACTTAATAAAACTGTCCCAAGCAGGGACCAAGAATGATGGTCTGGCATCGCTTAACCAAGGAAGTTATCTACTTTTCCTCAAACAAACACACCCAAAGTGAAGAAAATAAAATAATAAATATATGGGGTTGGCAAGATACGACATGATTCAAAGTGAGTTAGGCTCTGATCATTTCAAAACTTTCAATCATTGATTAAGAAATGTAATGATGTTATTCCAACTCAATTAAGCAATTAGCATTCCGTGAGGTGTGTTCTTAAGAATAACAAAACCATTGTGTTTGGCAAAAGTGTTTTGATTAAGGAAAAAGATGGTTGGTAACACTTACTTTTGTAAGGTCTTGTGGCCATTTAACCCTACACCCACATTTCAAATTTCCAGCCTTTACTTCTGATTTCAATTTTTATTCTCATTTAGTTTACTTTATTTAAAAAGCAGACGTCTTTAGTCTTGAAAGTGGTTTCACCATTTGGCATCTTACAGCTGGAACTCCATTCCATCTATATGAAATCACTTTTTCTTTACATATCAATGTATGAGCGGATGAAAGATTTGAATCTAAAAGTTTTTCATCACTTTCTCTTGTTAGTTTATGCAAATTCTAGGAATTAATTTGACAATGGTCACGAGGAAATGTCTTAATAGCAGCATATTTTAGAGTTGGACCTTAAAATATAACTAGAGATGGGTCTTGACCCTGTAAAAAAGATTATCAAAATTTAGAGAGGATACAATTGCGTTTCCAATATAAAAAAAAAAATAGAGGATGTAAAAGTTAGAAAAGTAAAAAAATTGAGCCGTTTATATTACAATAAATTGTTTACAACTAACAATTGGACTGAAACCTGTGACGTGTTGACCTGAATGTCGTTTGGAGTTCAGCACTCAGACCTTTAGTAATTATAGGCCTAAAACTTGGAGGAACTGTCCAGGCCCAAAACACGATCCAGATCAAAAGGGTAGTCACCTGCCCCATCGCCACATCCACGGCGGTGTTGTGCAATACCATTTGGTTCATCCGGGCAAAACATAAAATGAGAACCAAATGAGAACCCCAAATTGGAGATTCGAATTAATTGGGATCGTACTGTTGATGATATTTGGAGACACATTGGGGTATGGATACAGTTTCAGCATTTATGTTTCGGATGACCTTTAGATTGTGGTTTAGTTG